AACCGGGGGGGGGGGGGGACGGGGACGGATTGGGAGTAAGCAAAGAGAAGAAATGAATAAATGTTCTGGACGATAAGAAAGAACAGTCAAAGAAAACTACCTCGGCGGTTTGACGTTCGCTGTCATCCTCGGTCTTATCACCCGTTGCTTTGGTCCCGGTTACCAGTTCCCGATCCACGGTCGTGAAACAAATGTTAAACTCTTGAATGATGGACGGATACAGAGAATTGAAATCCAGTAAGAGAATGTACTTATCGTAGAATCCTGAGATGGAAAATGGGGGGGAACAAGGGTCAGGTTAGATACAGGAGGGGGAAACCGACAGTACAATCGGCTCCAAATGCATCCATACGAAACTACGCACAAGTGGCGTGTGTGATCATCCGAAAAATATCAGACAAAAAGGGCAATCAGTTCATAATGAAACCATGGGGGAAAAATCATCCACGGTAGCTGTTTATTTCAGATAAAACTATCACCACCATCACCACATAACTGATGAACAACGAGCACAGATCGAGCACCTACCTTTCTTTGGTTCCAAGACCAAACCACCAGTGTAGGCAGGTTTCCTTCGTCCCGAATTAACACCCGTTCGTCCATCGCCCTCGGCCGGATCTGCTTGGGCAGCAATATCCCAATCGTCAATTTGGGCATTTCGACCAGGTCGACGGGTGATTCCGACTGGATCCGGAACAATGTAACCGCGTTGGGTAAACGCATGCAACAAGAGTGCCTCGTTTCTTTCTGCTCGACCACCGGATAGTGTACGACTCAGCACATTCCCGCAGATCGAGGTGATTTGCATGGCCAGAGGAAGAACCTAGATGTAGGAAATTCATAAATCGAGAGGTGATCAAGACAGAGAGAGAGGATTGACGCAAAACAATCATGGATGAGGACATACTTGTAACTGATGAGCCAATCGCAACACAAGGTGCGCGTCGGACAAGCAGAAGTCAACCAGTTGTCGAACTAGGTCCGATGTGACAAACAAACAGCGCAAATCAAACGAATCAATTTCCAGATCCGCTAATTCTATACCGACTGATTGAACTGCATCCTCTTCACCGGCATTTTTCGTTGGAATCGTGGAACCACACAAAAGTTGCCTGATGGGAGCGGGAATTTGACGTCGCGCGCTTGTGGATGATCCCGAACTATCTGATCGGACATCGGCCAGGATTTGATTTGCCAAATCACTCAGATTGTAAGTGCGAGACCGGACTAGTTCACGAGCAGACATGCGTGTGTCACAGACCAAGCGTCCAGGAAGTGCGTTCCGAATGAGCCAACCCTGAATAACATGAGTCAGACCAATGGAAATCGAGAGATAAACCAAGAAAGACGCGTCAAACAACAAGGAGCGATGAAATTGCCTGCTCAGCAAAGTTTACACCGATCACTTTGCCCTTGAAAGAAAATTCATATCGAACAACAACTGGTTTTGTTGTGACATGTTCAACTTAGGAACATCCAAGAGTAGTTATTCCGTTCAGAATGAATAACATTTTCGAATGGGTGAAGGAAAAATAAACCGNNTAAACCGCTAGTTGATGCAAAAACGAAGTGGTAAATAAGCTCATTTCCAGTGCTTCATAGTTATGCCATTGCAACATCTTCCTCCTCTTGTTAGTCCTGAGTGTGTAAGAACACTGATTTTTCCATGGTCATTCACTCAAAAGCCAGTGACGTAACCTCCGGTCATAAACTGTCATTTATTCACAACCATCTCTCCCTCATCTACGTATACACACACACACACACACACACACACACACACACACACACA